GCCACTGCACTCCAGCCTGGGCGACAGAGCAAGACTCCGTCTCAAAAAAAAAAAAAAAGGAAAAGAGGTTTAATGGACTCACAATTCCATGTGGCTGAGGAGGCCTCACAATCATGGAGGAAGGCAAAAGGCACTTCTTACATGGGGGCAGGCGAGAGAGTGAGAGGCAAGCAAAAGGGGAAACCCCTTATCAAACCATGAAATCCCGTGAGACTTATTCACTACCTCCAGAATCATGGGGGAACCTCCCCCTGATTCAGTTATCTCCCACTAGGAACCGGGACCCTCCCACAATACATGGGAATTATGGGAGCTACAATTCAAGATGAGATTTGGATGGGGACACAGCCAAACCATATCACTATTATTACTTATTTTTATTATGTTATTTATTGGATTATAACCAAAGTATAAAATAAACACCTGTGGGCCCATAGACCTAAATTATTGAGAAAAATCGCCCATGCAGAAATATTCCAAGTAATTTATCTAGATATTCCCTCCTCAAAGAAGTGGAGTACTCTTCCCCTCCTTAAATATGGGCTGTGCTTAGTGACTTGTTTCCAAATATTATAGTGTGGGAAGAAGGGGGAGAAAATCACTTCACAGTGGAGAAGTCTGGCAAACACTGCCTTAGCCAGGTGATCAAAGTTAACATCAGCAGTGCTAAGTCATATTGATAGGATATAGCCTTGATATGATGTGATGAGAAGGTTACTTTACTACTGTAGTCCTCCTCCCAAAAACACATTACCCGAGTCCAATCACAAGAAAAACATTAAACGAGTCCCAGTTGAAGGACATTTTACAAAATCCCTGACCTCCTCAAAACCATCAAGTTCATCAGAAGCAAGAAAAATTTGAGAAACTGTCATGGCCATGAGGAGTTTAAGACACATCATGACTAAATGCATATGGCATCCTACATGGGATCCTGAAACAGAAAAAGAACATTAGGTAAAACTTTAGGAAGTAAATTTTACTGTAGAACTTTGGTGAAAAACAAAGGAAACTGAACAAAGTATGAACTTTACTTAATAATAATGTATTAGGCCAGGTGTGGTGGCTCACACCCTATAATCCCAGCACTTTGGGAGGCTGAAGTGGGTGGATCCCCTGAGGTCAGGAGTTTGAGACCAGCCTGACCAATATGGTGAAACCCCGCCTCTGCTAAAAATACGAAAATTAGCCAGGTGTGGTGGTGCGGGCCTGTAATCCCAGCTACTCGGGAGGTTGAGGCAGGAAAATCACATGAACCCGGGAGGCAGAGGTTGCAATGAGCTGAGATTGCACCATTGCACCCCAGCCTGTGTGAAAGAGTGAGAATGTCTCAAGAAAAATAAATAATAATATATCAATATTGGTTCATTAGTTGTGAAAAAAGTACTGTACTAAGATATTAATAAGAAGGAAGCTGGGCGCAGCATATATGGAAATTCTCTGTACTCTTCTTGCAGCTATTCTATAAATCTAAAATTAAAAAGTTGTTCTTTGTATAAGTTTTTGTTTGTTTTTTAAAGGATGAGGTCTTGCTGTGTTGCCCAGGCTGGTTTTGAACTCTTGAGCTCAAGTGATCTTCCTGCTTCAGCTTCCCAAGTAGCTGGGAATACAGGCATGCCCCACTGTACCCTTAAAATAAGAAGTATACATGTATATATTATATTATATATATTATATATATACATATATATATATAAAATCTTAATACTGTACACAGAGAAGTTCTTTTGAGATCATTTTATTCCTGGTTCTGAAAGACGCAGCTGAAGTAATGGCTTCACTGTTTAAAAAAAAAAAAAAAAAAAAGAAGGGTAGGAACAGGTAGGGCTGGTGTGGACAAAGGCAAGCAGACTCCTAGGCAGGCAGAGATGGGTGCCAATTAATTGGGCAGAAACAATGGAAAGGTCTCAGAGAGAGAAGCAAAGAAACCCATATCCCATCCCACCTATTTTTAAAAATTGATGCCTAGGCTGAACACATCAGAAGTAGTCAGTGGCCAACACTGGTTTAAAAAAAGAAAGGAGGGAAGAAGGAAGGGAGAGGGGTAAGGGGAGGAGAAAGAGAGGGAGAGAATTTCCATTTATAAAAATTACTCTTATTTAAAACAGCTTTTTGGAATGTTAGCAGGATTTCACAATGCAGACATCTCAGTTTGAGACAGCTTGATTGATTTCCTGATTTCCAGGAAAACGGAGCTATCATCTTGTTCCTGCTTCGTTGTTTACTGGCATAAATATGCAGTTCTTAAAAAATGTGAAATGGCTGCTGAAGAAGTGAAATTTAATTCTTTTTGACATATTGTTCCAAATCCCCTCAAAAATGAAGAAACCAGTGGAGAAACTTTCTTCCTCCCTTCACAAAAAAAGAATGTGAAGAATTCTGGAAGATTTTGTTCCTTTGGGAGTTTGTACATGAACTAAAGGCTCTGAACCAGTCTGTTGGGCCACAGAGTCAGATGAGAATAAGCACAGTTCACCTCCATAGTTTCGTGTTATACCTGCACAACCCAACCAAAAACTGGAGGGCAGCAGCCATGTTTTGTAGGTCCCATATTCCCAAGAGTATTAACATCATCCACAAGTGTTTTTGAGTACCCACTGATACAACCACAACAATAGTAAAAATAGCTAATATTTACTGTGCACTCTGTGTATGCACTTTGCCCTCACTAGTCCTATGAGCTAAGCTCTTCCAAGATTCCATCTTGGAGAAGGAAAATAAGGCTCAGAGGAGGAAAACAGCCTGCTCCAAAATGCATAGTGTGACAAGCAGGCTTACATGCCCAGTTATTTGGTTAAACAGTCTAGATGTTGCTGCAAAGAAATTTTGTAGATGGAATTAGCATTTATAATCAGTTGGTTGTAAGCAAAGCAGATTACCCTCCCTACTGAGGGTGGGCCTCAACCTATCAGGAGAAGGCCTCAAGAGCAAAGGGGGAGGTTTCTAGAAAAAGGAATTCTGACTTAAGACTACAACATAGAGATCTTGCCTGAGTTTCCAGTCTGCCTGGCCTGCGCTATGAATTTCAGATTCAAGATTGCAACATCAACTCTTACCTGAATTGCTAGCCAGCTGGTCTGTCCTACAAACTTCAGACTTGCTAATCCCTGGCAATCTTGTCAGCCAATTCCTAAAAATAAATAAGGATGGATGGATGGATGGATGGATGGATAGATAGATAGATGAATGATACAGATATAGATAGATGATAAATATAGATGATATAGATAGATGATATATATATAGGTGGATATAGATAGATGATAGAGATTTTTGCAAGTTCTGCATATATCCTGTTGGTTCTGTTTCTCTGGAGAACCCTAATACACATGACTAGTAAGTGGCAAAGCCAGGATGCAACCCCAGGTCTTTTTGAATGCAAAGCTGAGGCTCTTAACTCCGCACTCTGCAGACCTTGCCCAAAAGGCTGCGTATACCAGGGTTGTAATATAAGCAAGAGCTGCTGTAACCCAGGTGTGTTCCTACTGTGGGAACTAACACAACCAGGCAGGGTATGGTACCTGCTGCTGTAAGCAAGAGGGGGCTATTTTTGGCTTTTGAGCAAGGGGATGTGTCTCAGCAGCATTAAGGAAGAAGAATCTGGCAGCAGAACAGATAAGGAAGAGCCTAGAGGGAGGAAATCATTGTGTATTATTAATCTTATAATAGAACAGGTGCAAAGGGGCCTAAAGTGGCCAACAGAGAATAGCTGGGAGGAGTATTATCACAGAGGGGCCCCTAGATGTGGGACGAACAGGGAAAGAAGGCAGAGGCAGGGAGGAGCCAGCAAGGTGGCCCTGCTAAATGGCCAAGAGACAGAGGGCATCGTGGGCTAGAGTGGGGGAGTCTGATGGGAGAGCTGGTCTAGGGAGGTTAGTTTAGGAAGGTTAAGTGGGAAGAGATGGGGTGGCTCGGTGGGAGGATTCCACAGAAAGCCTCTGGAGTCAGATCCAGGCTCTAGAGAGAAGACCAGGCTGGAGGGCCAGTACGGCTGGGAAGAAAGGAAAGCCACAGGCTAAGGACTTTGCTCTGTGAGCTAGGTCAAAGGCAGCAGGAAGCTGGCCCAGTGACCAGACTGGGGAGATAGAGCTGGAAGGCACTAGGGGGTGGGAGACAGTCACGCCACTGAGGCAGAGGGGCTCCCTGTAGAGGAGGGTGGCAGGCATGGTGGAGAGGCGTAGGACCCAGGACGGCAAGATTTGTTGATCAGAGACTGCTATAGAACATGACAGATTCCTTGTGGACGAAGGGTAGATGCCGAAGGCAGGTGTCAGGGTGTTTGCTAGGGAGTCGTGGTGAGAAAACAAAGGTGACAAACACAGACTCCTCTTTGAAGACAGTTTGTCAAGAAGGTAAAGAACCCAGGTGGGAATAAGGTAGTAGACCCATTGAGGAGGGATTTAACATGGACACAAGGTGAGTGGGAAAAACTGCTACTGAGAAGGAGGAAGTGGAGATGTCAGGAAGATGGGGTAATTGAGGAGGGAAGAGGATGTGGTAGAGAAAATAATAAAAATAACAGTTAATGCTTGGCAAGCACTTCCTTTGTGCCAGGCACTGTTCTGAGTACATTCCTTATTTTTATTTCTTTAGTGTTACTGTCCCCATTTTACAGATGAAGAAACTGAGGCCCCAGATCACAGGGCTGGTGAGAATAACATGTCGTATGTCTCCAGAGCTAACAGTTAACTACTATAGTGTGCCACACAAGGAGAGAGCAGCAGTAGAGAGGGGTGCCAGTTCCTCTGATGGAGGATAAAAAAGAAAGATTGCCAGTATGGGCAACATAGTAAGACCCTGTCTCTACAAAAAATAAAAATAAAAAAATTAGCTAGGTATGGCGGCATGTGCCTGTAGTCCTAGCTACTTGGGAGGCTGAGGTGGGAGGATTGCTTGAGCCCAAGAGTTTGAGGCTGCAGTGGGCTATGGTTGTGCCACTGCACTCCAGCCTGGGCAGCAGAGTGAGACCCTGTGTCTGAAAAAGAAACAAATAAGATAAAAGGAAAGGCTGAACTAAACTCAAATTTCTAAAGGCAATGCCCTATCCTGCTGGGCTGGAGGAAATCCAACTGTAACCTTTACTGGGGTTCTCCCTTGGAACCCTAGAAAACTTCTGCATCTTATGGACCCCACAATCTGGAGAAAGCCCCCGTGCGTATGAGTCTGTATTGAAACCACTGAGATGCTGTGCCAGTTAAGAATGTGTGGGCCATACATACAAGAAACCTGCCTGATAGCAGCTTAAGCTAAAAAAGTGATTTAGTTATTTCACGTAGCAAGAGGTCTAGAGGCAGGCAGTCCTCAGAGTGGTTTCATAGTTCCCTGATGTATCCAAGCATTTAGGATCTTTTATCCTTGCATTCCATTGTCCTCAGTGTGTGGGCCTTTTACCCTAGGCTTGCTATCTCATGGTCACACCATGGCTGCCAGAGCTGCAGAGCTCACAAAACCATCTTCAGGGCAGGTAGCAGGTACAGACCACCTGTATCTCCTTCCCAGACTTCTCCCAAGTTCTCTTGGGCAGGACTGAGTCCTAAATCGATCCCTAGCAAAGGGAAAATCAGCACACTTGGTTTAGGGCTTTCATGGGTCACCCTCTGGAGCTAGAGGAAAGGCCCACCTTCCCAAGCAAGCGGCATCTAGAATAAAATGTGGGTTCTTTAAGGAACATGGGAGAATGGCTGTTGGGTGGGTAACCAACACTTCTGTCTCAGAAGACCACTGACCCAGTCCACGGGACTGTTTGGGGTCCATGGTCTGCTGCCCCAGGCCACACTCCGGAGACAGAAATTTCAGCCAAAACCAGGAGCCCTGGGCTTAGGGTCCAGCCTCCCCGGGCACACCCAGCAGCTCCTTCCTGGGCTTTGTCAGGGTGTTGTGGGGAGCTGGCACCGTCCCAAATGCATATGGGTACTCAGGGGCTGCTTTCTACCTCCTTCTGGTCAGGAGAAACCTCCTATCTAAGCCACAGTGCTTCTCAACCACACTTCCCTTCCTCATCCCCTACCTCGTCCCGTCCCGGGGTCCTGGCCAAATATTCTCAATAGTGAGACCTTTGGGAACACAGAGAGGAATGTCTTATGGCAGCTCCTTCTCTTGGCCAGTTAACACAAACCTGTCCCAAGGCGTGGCTGCCTTTGTGCCTATGGTGGCCGGGGGCTCGGGGCAGTAACACAGGGAGCAAAAAACACACATTCATCTCCATCGTGCCCACACCACACTGGCAGCAGGAAGAATGGTGCAGTGGTAAATTGGAGACCTGAGCCCTGGCCCTACTCTGGGCTTAGGTGTCTTCATCAGTAAAATTGCTTAGAGGGACCACGGCAGGGCAGGAATGGAAGAGTTCCACCCATTCTGCCAACTAGATACAGAGGCCTCCACCAATTCCCTAACACAGGGGTCCCCAACCCCCAGGCAGGGGCTGATACCTGTCTGTGGCCCGTTAGGGACGAGCTGCACAGCAGGAGGTGAGCTGCAGGTGAGCATTACAGCCTGAGCTGTGCCTTCTGCCAGATCAGTGGTGGCACAAGATTCTCATAGGAGCACAAACCCTGTTGTGAACTGCGCATGCGAGGGATCCAGGTTGCGTGCTCCTTATGAGAATCTAATGCCTGATGATCTGAAGTGCAACAGTTTCACCCAAAACCATTCCTCACCACCTTCCATCTTTGGAAAAATTGTCTTCCATGAAACCAGTCCCTGGAGCCGAAAAGGTTGGGGACTACTGCCCTAGCAAAATGCCCCAGTCATGTCCATTTCTACCTGGGTGGTGAGGTTGGGCGGTCCAGAGGAGTGGGCCCTGATGAGTGTGTGGGCATCCAGGTGCAGTGCTGGAAGTTTCCAGCCTGGCTCCGTGATCATAGAGAGTGGAGCTGGGGGGTTTGTTAGGAATTCAGAGGATACCTAAAGCCTCATTTCAGTAGCTAGAACAGCCTCATTCCAATAGCTCATAACTGGGGTCCATGAACTATAGAATTCAGGGGTCTGTGCACTTGGATTGGAATAGAATACAACTTTATTTTCAGTCGTTTCTATTTCCTGGGTTATGACAAAGGGTGCAAAGTGCAGTTGTATCAGCAGCGCCAATAGAAACCACAGAGTTTTTCATATCCCTTTACAGTTTGCCACAGGTATCTTAGAATATTGTTTACACTCATCTCTACTTCAATTTACCATTGTTTAATAGGCCCACCCCTAGATCTTGTTATTCAATATGTTAATAAAGAAATCTATGCACATAGTACCATGTTACACATTTTAAAAATATTTTGACAACTGTATATAAATATAACTAGCTTACTTTGTAATCCTACATATTTTATGTGTACGAAAATATTATTCTGAAATTAGCCAGGCATAGTGGTGCATGACTATAGTCCCAGCTACTTGGGAGGCTGAGGTGGGAGGATCACCTGAACCCAGGGAGGTCGAGGCTGCAGTGAGCCGTGATTGCACCACTGCACTCCAGCTTGGGCAATGGAGTGAGACCCCGTCTCAAAAGAAAAGAAAAGATGATTTTAAGAAGCGATCGAGGGCACAAAAAATGGCCAAAAGCCCCTGACTGAGTGTCATCCACCCACAGTGAGGGCCGCTGTCCAGCTGCCGGGACCCTGCAGGAGGAACCAAAGCAGGAGAATCCCTGGCACCACCCTTGCTCCAGGATATACCCCTGGGTGCTCAACAAAGAAGTGAGGACAACTTGCCACCATCTTCAGTTTGATGGAATGGCCTTAGGCCTCTGCTGCCCATCGTGAAGTCACCGGCCTCTTACCTAAAAGCTCAGGAGGATTTAGGGAGAATGCAGATAGAGCACCTGAGTTCACTGTGTCATGAAAGAAGGGAAGCCTCCCAGCATTAGATCTTAGGGAATTGTTTCAACCAAATTTAAGGATGCAAAAGCCAAGAGTTGGGAGGAGAGGCAGGGAGAGATACCTCCCTCCTCACCTGTGGCTGCAGCACTGCTTGGGGGCATGGAAAAACAGTTTTCCACACCCTAGCAGACAGCAAAAGCTATTTCAATGTGCCAAGTGAAAGTTGAGCCATGCCCTCATCCAAACTAGCCTCCAGCCTCATGCAGGCAGCTCGGGGCACCTGTGCACACTGGGCTCGCCCTTACGGAGCTGTTCCTCCATCAGGCAGTTCTGGGCACTGGTGTATACTGGGCTTGCCCTTACGGGGGCTGTTCCTCCATTTCTGTCTCCCCTTGTGCTGCCCCTCACTGGGAGCAGCACCACCCCAATCCACGCCAGGCAAGCCCTGCCCTGGGACACCGCTGCTCTCTGTTCTCATGGATGATTCAGGCCCCAGCAAAGATACTCTTTGTTCCTCAAAAGAGGGAATGGAGGGCACACTTGCTGTTAGGAAATGCCCCCCACCTTGCAGTCTGGCTTCCTGATCTCTCTGTTAAGATCTTTTAAGCCACCCCATCAGCCACAGAACGAAGCCCATCCACCAAGAGTACCTGAGCCCAAATCTCCCCCTTCCCCACCCCGCCAGCTCCTCTGCCTGCAGACAGCAGGAGAATGGACTTGTTTCCTATCACACAGGCCATGTGCCCACTGGGCAAGACCCAAACCCATGGAGCCCCCACCCCCTCCACCCCCCACCTTGCGCTGCTGAGCATTCCACCACCTTTTGTAGAAACTTCACAGGTTTGAGAAAATTCTGTGGGAGGGGGCTGAGGTTTAATTCCGGAGTGGGGACAGCCTAGGGGGACAGCAAAGGATGATGGGGAGGAGTGCGGTCTGGGAGTCTGAGAGAATAGAGATTCTCAAAGGTACAGCCCAGGACCGCCCACTTCTGCTTCCTGCTGTGCTCTCTGCCACCTTCCATATGACATTGGCCTGGTCGGGGCAAAGAAGTGACCGACAGGCCCCTGGGGACATCATCCAGTCATTCATTCATTCACACACAGATATTTGCTCACAGTGGGCAATGGGAAGGGGAGGCCAAACCACACACTGTAAATGCTGCCCACAGAGGGGGCCTGCAGCCCAGGGGGGATGATGGACCACAGCTGCCTGGAGGGAGGCCTAAGGCAAAGCCTTGAAGGCCAAGGAGAATGGAGAGGAGAATGGAGGGCCTTCCACCCACGGGCACTAAAAGAAGGCCAAGCCTACTTGGGGAGAGGCAGTATCGGGACCTGTGCACTGGGCTGCACTGGGCAGAAAAAGGCTATGAGTGTCATGCTGTTGGGAGAAAACGGGTCCTGTGGTTAAGTAAATTTGGGAAGTTCTGGATTAAATGAGTTGAACAGTTCTGTGTACTACAGCACTTGTCAGGACTTTTAACCTGTGAATGATGCAGAATGAACCTTATGGTGGATCCCAGGACTGGTGTCTCACACTGACATAAGGACCAGGGGAGGCAGTGGGAGCTGATGAGATTCAAAACACAAGAGGTTTTGAATGCCAGGCCAAGAAGGCTGGAGTTTTTCCTTGTGGCAGTGAGGACTCTCAGAAGGAGACTTAGAGGGATCTAGACTCAGGGAACCTGGGGCAGTTTAGTAACCAGCGAGGCCAGGGCTGTGGCAAGACTAGCCAGTCCCAGTCAAGGACTCCCCAACTCCTTGACAGCAGGGCCTTTCTGTGGGAGAGAAAACAGAGACCATGGACACAGTCAGCAGTAAGGGTCTCAGAGAGAGCGGCGAGAAGACAGAAGGCTGGGCAACCCTGAATTCAAGCTGGGCGCAGTGGTCAAGCCTACTTGGGTTCCAATCCTGACTCCACCACTTCCCAGCTGTGGGTATCTGACCTAATGTCTCTGTGGCCTCAGGGTATTTGTTTTTTGTGTTTTGAGATGGAGTCTCACTCTGTCACCCAGGCTGGAGTGCAGTGGTGCAATCTCAGCTCACTGCAACCTCCACCTCCCAGGTTCAAGCAATTCTGCCTCAGCCTCCCGAGTAGCTGGGATTACAGGCATGCACCACCACACCCAGCTAATTTTTGTATTTTTAGTAGAGATGGGGTTTCACCATGTTGGCCAGGCTAGTCTTGAACTCATGACTTCAAGTGATCCGCCCGTCTCAGCCTCCCAAAGTGCTGGGAGTACAGGCGTGAGCTACTGCCCCTGGCCCTGTTGTTTATTTTTTAGAGCAGTTTTAGGTTGTTAGAAAGTACAGAGGTTCCCATGTACTTCCCGCCTCTCTCCCCAGTTTTCCTGATGAGTAATATCTTGCATTAGTGTGGCACAATTGTTACAATTTATGAACCAATACTGATACATTATTATTAACTGAAGTCCATAGTTTACTTGAGGGTTCACTCTGTGTTATCCAGTCCTACAGATTGTAACAAATGCACAATATGTATCCACCATTACAGTATCATACAGAAGAGTTTCAAGGCCTTAAAAATGCTGTCTGGGCCTGCAGGGTGGCTCATGCCTATAATCCCAGCACTTTGGGAGGCCAAAATGGGAGGATCACTTGAATCCAGAAGTTCAAGACCAGCCTGGGCAACATAGAGAAACCCTGCCTATACAAAAAAGAAAAAAAATGTTTTAATTAGCCACCTGTAGTCCTGGTGCACCTGGGTGGCATATACCTGTAGTCCCAGCTACTTAGGAGGCTGAGGTGGGAGGATGGCTTGAGCCCAAGAGGTTGAGGTTGCAGTAAGCAGTAATTGTGCCACTGCACTCCAGCCTGGGTGACAGAGCCAGACCCTGTCTCAAACAAGCAAACAAACAAAAAGTTGTCTGAGCCTCAGTTTTAACACCTGTAAGATGAGTGTAAAGCTCCATCTGAAGCCCCCCAGTCTTCTGCTGTAGGTTGATTTAGGCCTCCCAACAAATCAAGTATGACTGAAATCCACTAAATGTCTGATATCCATCAGAATCACGAGGCTTGGGTCAGGGCGAGAGGTCCTCATTCAAATGCACATTCTAAGGTCTCAACTCCAGACCTGCTGAGTCACAAGCCCTGGGATGGGGCCCAGGAATCTGCATTTTAACAATTCCCCTGGTGCACAAGGAAATTTGAGACCCACTGTGCCCCTGATAGCTTGCGCACATGGAAATTCGTTTCTCAGATAAAAACAGAGGTTCTAGCCACTGTCAGGTCAAAGCTCTGGAGAGCTGTGCCATCTCCCAAAGGGAGCAGAACGGTTTGCCATCAAGCCAGGCAAGAGCCCATTTCTGCCTGTGCAGCTCGCAGTCTCCAAGCCTGCTGTTGTTTCATATCTTGATTGCTTATCACTCACCCAAAATAACCTGAATGCAATCGCACCAGCTGCAGCTCTCTCCGCAACTCCCTTAATTTAGCAGCCAAACACATTTGGTTCCTTCACAGAGCACAAGGCCTCAGCACAGGGCCCAGGAAGGGGCCCCTCCCTCCCAGCTATCTGTAGTGAGTTGAATCATTTCCCCCTGGAATTCATGTTCACCTGGAACCTAAGAATATGACTTTATTTGGAAATAGAGTATTTGCAGGTGTAATTAATAAGGATCAAGATAAGATCATACAGGATTAGGGTGGGCCCTAAATCCAATGACTGTTGTTAAAAGAGGAGAGAACAGAAGAGACAGAGACTGGAGTGATGCAGCACTAAGCCGGGGAATGCCACGGACTGCCCACTGCCACCACGAGCTAAAAAGAGCCAAGGAAGGATTCTTACCCAGAGCCTTCAAAGGGACCACAGCCCTGCCAACACCTCCATCCCAGATTTCCAGCCTCCAGAACTGTGAGGAAATCAAGTTCTGCTGTTTCAAGCTACTCAATTTGTGGTAATTCGTTAGAGCATCCCTAGGAAACCAATGCAGCATCACTGCCATAGGCCCCTGGCCTGGCTCAGCGCCCTCTCAGCCCCACTCCAGTGGGAAGGAAAGGTCCCCACCTGCAGGCAGTTCTCCAGATGGGCAGTTTAACATGGCCCGTTAGGATCAGAGCTAGTTTCTCCCAACCAACATCTTTGAACTCTGCATCTACTAGGCCCATTCCCCACATAAGGAGAAGGACCCTTCTGTCCTCTGCTTGAAAGGCTGTATTCCAAGAAGGGCTGAGTTTGGTAGTGACAAATAAATACTGGTCCTTGGGCAGTGTCTGGCCAGCGGTGCCATGTGAGATGAGTCCCTACAGTTTCATGCCACTCCGGCGCCGCGAGTCCTTCCGGGCAACGGGGCTGAAGTTCACAATCTCCTTGTAGATGTGCTCTGAGAAAGGCAGCATGGTTTAAGGTGGGTAAGGAGGTGCTGAGGCGAGAAAGTCCACCTCCCTTCAGAGAGAGCATGGAGAGCGAAGTCAGCTCAAGGAGAAAGAAGCACCTAGGAGACAATGCCTAGGTCTCCTAGGAGGGGGCAGGAGCCTTAGGTGGCAGGTAGGGCTGGCAGAGGCCAGGCATAAAGATGGAGGAAGCAAGGAAGAGAGGCTGCAGGTGGAGGCGAGGAAGCCCGAGGCCCCAGCTCTTACGCTTCCATTCATCCACTGTGAGTTTCTTGTGTTCTAAGGAATCATCAAATGGCTGTTGGGCCTCCGTCTCTTCCTCAGGGTCCCGGAAGGGTTCAAAGAAGGGATGGGTGAGGGCCTGCGCGGCTGTCAGGCGCTTGTCCACATCTAGCTCCAGCATCTTCTCCAGCAGGTCCGTGGCTGCAGGGGCAGAGCCATGAGCCTCACACCGGCGCGGGAAAGCCCGCCCTTGGGGTGCACTGAGAGGCCCCTGGGGAGCGGGCTATGAGACTCACCCTGGGGGCTGGCCCGCGGGAAGAGCTGAGTGAAATCCTTCTTGGGGGTCTGTGGCAGGGCCTGGATGTAGGATTTGGCCTGGAAGACAGAAAAGCATCAAACCCCTTAGGGCTCTGGCCTCAGCATGTAGAGCAGGGATTTCAGAAAAGCCTCAGAGCAGGGCTGAAGGCTCAGGTCCGGGTCCACAGTGAGGTGAAGACAAGAGCGCTTGCCAGGGTAGGAGGATGCTGCGGGAAGGTGCGGGTGAGCCTCCAGCCCACTGGGCCCAGTCAGTCAAGCACACTCCCAGGCCAGGCTAGGTCCCATTTACCACCCACCGCTTTGTCGTTCAGCTTCTGCACAAACTCCGTGCCTGGCACCCCGGTCACTTTCAGGATCTGGGTCAGCTGGTCCAGGTCTTGGTGGCAGGTTAAGGCTTAGCCTTGCTCTCCTGGTGGGTCTGAGACTGCCCTTCCCACGACCCCACCATCACTTCACCTGGGCACCGTGGCAACTGATTGTCCAGGCTCCAGCCCTGCCTAACCACCAATGAGCTCTCAGGAGAGGCTCATTCTTCAGGGCTCAGGGCTCTGGAGAGCTTTCCAACATGCCAGGCTGAGGGGGTTCCCTACCGGACAAATACATGTGGACTTCTCAGCCTTCATCCCAGTCACTCTTTTCTGTTTCCTCATCTTCTCACCAAAGGCCTGTCCTGCACACACAGTCACTCAGTTAATGTGTGCGGTGCCAAAATGTATTTTCCACATGGTGGCAGAATTATAGGTGACCCATTTTTCATCATTTTGCTTATCTATCTATCTATCTATCTATCTATCTATCTATATATATATATTTTTTGAGACAGGGTCTACTCTGTCACCCAGGCTGGAGTGCAGTGGCATAATCTGGGCACACTGCAACCTCCACCTCCTGGATTCAAGCAATTCTCCTGCCTCGGCCTCCCGAGTAGCTGGGATTTGACCACGTTGGCCAGGCTGGTCTTGAACTCCTAACCTCAGATGATCTGCCCGCCTTGGCCTCCCAAAGTGCTGAGATTACAGGCGTGAGCCACCGCACCCGGCCCATGTCTGGCTAATTTTAAAAAATTTTTTAGAGAAGGGGTCTCACCCTATTGCCACCTCCCGTCTCAAACTCCTGGGCTCAAATGATCCTCCCACCTTGGCCTCCAAAAGTGCTGGGATTACAGGCATGAACCACCGCATCCAGCCTTATCTGCATTTACAAATTATTTTACAGGGAGTATACATCACTCTCACATTAAGAAAAAAAAGACAGTTGCTTAAGTAAAGTGTCTGTTGAAGGAAGGAATCCCTAGATGGAATTTGGCTTTTCCAGCAAAGGATACAATCTTTCCCCTTGAACAGAGTTTTCCCTGTCAGCATCTCTGCCATGATACAGCCCACAGACCAGATGTCCACTGCAGAGGGAGGGGGAGTGTCACCTGGACTGTCTGACTGGGGCCCGGCAGTCAATCAGCACCGAGTGACCAGATGGCCCCAGGACTGCCCTCTCAGGCGCTGACCACTGACCTGTCTGGTTGTAGTGCATCCAGCTGAGGATCACCTCGGGGGCCCGGTACCAGCGGGTCACCACGTAGCCAGTCATCTCGGCATCTGCATGCCGCGCCAGCCCAAAATCCAGGATCTATGGCTCGGGATAAATGGAAAAGGAACTTGCTGAGAGGAGGAGGCTCTGGGAGCGGCTTCCAGGGGCTTCCCTAGGGGAGGGCCCATCCCACCTCTGGGCTGAGCCTGCAGCCCACTCACCTTCAGTTCACAGTCCTCGTTCACAGCTAGGTTGCCTGGCTTCAGGTCCTGGGGAGAGGACAGGGAGTGCATGCTAGGCTGAGGCACAGATGGAGCTTGTCCTAGCTCCACCACCACCCAGGGGTGTGACCTCAGCCAGGCCCCTTCCCCTTCTGGGCCTCAGTTTCCTCATGTGTAAAATGAGGGTGGGACTAGGTGTTCTCTCGGGGCCCATCCAGCTCTAAAATGTTCCTGATTCTTGAAGCCTAAAACACTCAGCTCAGGGCTCACTTTGTCCGCAGCAATTCCCCATGAAGTCCCCTGGGACACAGCGACTCTTTGGAGCAGGCCTTCCTGGGCCGTGGCTGGGTCTGAAAACTCCACATTCTGGGCTTCTGGGAAGTGTCCTCTCCCTCCACCTTTCCCACTCCTTGATTACCAAAGAACCCCACACCCAGGGATGGGACAGCGGCCTCTGAGGACCATGGCAGAGAAAGCACTCACCCTGTGCACGACCCCAGCCGAGTGGATGTACTGTGTGTGGGAGAGAGAAGGGTGAGTCCGTGGCCCAGTTTCCACACCAGGCACTGCAGGCTGGCTCAGAAACCTCCTCCGACCTGTAACAGTGTGCTCCCTCCAGCCTCCCCCAAACCTCAGGTCTCGACAGCAAGGCATCCCTTCTGCCACCCTCCAACTCCCCACCCACCTTAAGGCCTTTGAGCATCTGATACACCAGGTACTGGATCTTCTCCTCACTGAACTCCATCCCCATGATCTTCTGCAGATCCGTCTGCATGAAGGGCATCACCAGGTAGCTGGAAGGCATGAGGGCTTCTTGGGACAGTGCTGGGTCCCACCCAGCCCCAGGTCTGTGCTCAGAGGAAGGGCCTCAGGGCAGAACAGGGGTCATAGAGACACCCTCCAGTGTGCAAAAACCAACCCCACCTCAGCCAGCCAGATCACCACACAGGCCTCTGGGCTCCTGGCTCCCAGCCTTCCTGTGGCAGGCCGCCCAACTGGCAGAGCTCAGAGTAAGCGCTGCAGTCGGAGCGTGCTCAGGAAAGCCACATGGAACTGTGTTCCCGCTCTTCAAAGGTACTCTCTCCTTGCCCTCCTCCACACCCCAGGGAAAGCCACAGCTAGGAGTTAGAAACATCTGCCAGTATTTCCTTTGGCTTCTGTCCAAATATTTTATCCCTCAGAGGGTCATGCCCAGCTGAGATGGCTCCACAAATAATATGTCCACCTTTCCAAGAAGGAAACAATACAACAGTTTCCAGGAGGGTGGAAGGGGGACATGGGGAGGCTACTGCAGCCTCTTAGGGAATTGCACAACAGGATCAGGCCAGCAAAATGTAACTGTTGTAGCAACAGCAAAGTCCAGGACAAAGACAAAAAATAATAAAAATTATAAAATAGGCCAGGGGGCATAACTCATACCTCCAATCCCAGTGCTTTGGGAGACGGAGGCTGGACAATCGCTTGAGGCGAAGAGTTTGAGACCAGCCTGAGCAACATAGGGACCCCATCTTTTCTTTCTTTTCCTTCCCTCCCTCCCTCCCTCCCTCCCTCCCTTCCTTCCTTCCTTCCTTCCTCCCTCCCTCCCTCCGTCCCTCGCTCCCTCTCTCTTTCTTTCTGATGGAGTCTCGCTCTGTCGCCAGGCTGGAGTGCAGTGGTGCAATCTCGGCTCACTGCAACCTCCGCCTCCCAGGTTCAAGCGATTCTCCTGCCTCAGCTTCCCTGAGTAGCTACAACTACAGGTGCGCGCCAGAATGCCCAGCTAATTTTTGTATTCTTAGTAGAGATGAGGTTTTGTCATGTTGGCCAGGCTGGTCTCAAACTCCTGACCTCAGGTGATCTGCCTGCCTTGGCTTCCCAAAGTGCTGGGATTACAGGCGTGAGCCACTGCACCTGGCCTGGACTCCATCTTTCAGAAAAAAAAAAATAGGTGTGGTGGCATGCACCTTTAGTCTCAGCTACTCAAGAGGCTGAGGTGGGAGGATCACTTGAGGTCAGGATTTCGAGATCAGGATGAGTAACATAGTGACACACCATCTCTATAAAAATTTAAAAACAAAACAAAAAGCTGGACATGGTGGCATGCATCTGTAGTCCCACCTACTTGGGGGTCTGAGGCGGGAGGATGGCTTGAGCCTACAGGTTGAACTGTGTTTGTGCTACTGCACTCCAGTCTGGGCAACACAGCCCTATCTCTACAATATAATTTTAAAAAATTTTTAAATAAATATTACCTTAAAAATTATAAAATATATATATATTTTTGAAAGGACATGCTGGAGGCATCTCCAGGAGACTCTGGATTTTGGCAGCCCTCTCCTGCCTGACCACACACCTCCCTTGGGGCCCTCTCCATGCCCAGTCCCCTCCTGTCTTTCCCCTCCACTCGGGCACTGGTTTTTTCATCTTGGCGACAATCTTCCTGAAGCCTCTCTGTGCTAGAACCACATTCCCTTGATTTTGCGCCTTCAACTGACCACCCCTTCTCCCTCTCTCACCACCAAACTTCTAGAAAGGGCGGTCCACATTCCTGGATTCCACTGCCTTAACTCCCAGTCTTGAGATAACCTGGTTTCTGCTTCCCTCCTACTGCCAGACTGCTCAGCTCAAGATCACCAGTGAACACCCGACAAACACACCATGACTCCCTTTTCTTCTGACCTAACTTTTCACCAAGTCTGAAACTCCTGGCCGGGCGCGGTGCCTCACGCCTGTAATCCCAGCACTTTGGGAGGCCGAGGCAGGAGGATCACGAGGTCAGGAGATCAAGACCATCCTGGCTAACACGGTGAAACCCCATCTCTACTAAAAA